GGCAGAGGCTAGATGATGGAGAGGAAGACCCTCAACCAGGTGGATTGACACACTAACTGCCAAAGGGGGCTCTAGTATGTGGGGAAGTGTGAGATGGCATAGGACAGTACAGTGTTCTAATCTGTTGTTTATAGATCACTATGGGTCATACTCAACTTGATGGCACCTGACAATGACTAACATGTTACTATGAAGGGAGCTTTGGTGACCTCGTAAATAAAGAGTTGTGTTGCCAACCCAGTGTAAGTTGGATGAACTCACTAGATAATTCACAGGAAAAAGATAGGAAATCTTCTCCCATGAAGTTTACAGCCTCTGAATATGTGCTGGAGGGTCAGCTATAAGTCAGTTCCTACTGCATGGCACATAACAACAACACAACAACAACAATAATAAAATACAACAACAACAATAATAACATTATTATGAAACAACCTTCTTTTGTCCTGAGATATAAACTCCTGTTAAATACATTTGCTTAGAGTTGCAGTCATATAGATGTTGATCTGATAACATAAAGGTCAATAGTTCAAGTATACCAGTTATTCCATTCAAGGCAGATAAGAATCTGATAAGATTTATAGCCACAACAATGATTCAGAACCTTTATTATGGCAGTTTAATTGGTAACATACTACATCTTTTATCATTATTTTAATTTATTTATGCCATTCATATGACAGGTGGGGTTTTTTTTAACATATTGTTGAATCTTTTTTTATTTAACCTGAGAATTCTATTTTTTAATTAGTTTTTTAAAAGTATTTACATTAACAGCTTTAGTTTGCTTGGCTCCACAATTAACACTCTTGGTATCAGCAGCCAGGAAATTAAATGATGAATTGCATTGGAAAAGTCTGCTGTCGAGTCTTCTCCAAAGTACTGAAGAGCAACGATGTCAGTTTGTAGAGTATGATGTGCCTGATACAGGCCATGGTCTTTGCAATCACTTGCTATGCATCACAGAGCTGGACAATGACTAGGAATAATAGAAGGAGAAATGATGCCTTTGAGTTGTGGTGCTGGAGAAGAGTATTGAATATACCATGGACTGCTAGGAGAACAAACAGGTTCGTTCTGGAGAGGGTGAAACCAGGCTGATCCTTGGAGGCAAGGATTTTGAAGCTTTGTCCGACATACTTTGAACACGTTGCAAGGAGGAACCAGTCCTTTGAGAGGGATGTCATGCTTGGGAGGTTGGAGACACAGCACAGGAGAAATAGATCCTCAATGAGATGGATTGATTCAGTGACTGGGGTAATAGGGGTAGATGTGTCAGATACAGTGAGGTGGGAACAAGACAGAGAAGAGTACAAGGCTGTTGTACATGGTGTCACTATGAGTCACAGGTGACTTGACAGCACATAACAACAACATTTATAATAAACTTTATGATGTTTAAATTATTTTGTTATTCATCTTTATTTGTAGTTTTTACTATTTCACTTTCCTTTTTATACTTTATTTTGAGTTAATATGTTTTATACCCATTTTCTCTATCTACTGTCTCATTGGTTATAATTTTCTTGCCATTTTAATAATTACATTGGGTTTTAAACTATTCCTATTTACCTTTCCAGACTCTGCTTTATATGCTGCTCAATTCTTATAAGTGATCAGATTTTCCTGCTTGATTGGTAGTAATTAAAACTCTTACTGAGCTGAGAATCAAAGAGTACTGTTTTATAGAATGTTTCACAGAACTTCATCTGCTTATAAGTAACTATAAGGAGGTATGTAAACATAGAGCATGCTGACTTATACTGCTAATGAAGAAGTCAGTAGTCTAAACCAACCAGCTGATCTGTGGAAGAATGATGGACAGTTTCCTCCCATAAAGATTTACAGCCTCAGAAACTTTATGTACAGTCTCTATTTTTCAGAATTGGCTTCCTGGCATTGGGTTGTGCTTTCATAACTATACTTCCCTGGACATCAAAGATTATGAGACTCTATTGTAAACCACTTTGCAAATATCCATTCCCTTAGATTGGATATGATATCTAGATATTTATATTTTTCTTCTTTTAAACTTATTTACTTTAAATCACACAATACACTATGTAGAAGAAATGACAATCAACAACTTCATTATCACTACCATTGCCTTTTCACAGTCTAGGTTAATTTCTTTTATTTAATCACATATAACAATGACAAGAATGCCTCATACACAAATTCTTAAAATTAACTATTAAAGTTTCTTGTCAATATTAGCTATGTACCTCTACAAAAGGAATGTGATTATTTTAAGGGCAAAAGAAAATATCTTCACTTTTTCATCTCCGTATCTTTAGCATGTGCAGAGGAAAAATACTATATATTTTGAACAATTAATTGTTCAAAGCATATTTGTTGCATAGCAACTGAATTAGATATTGAAAGCAAGTCTTCCGATTATGAATCCTCAACTGATGCTCCTTCTCATTAAACTAATCTAAAGAGAAAAAAAGGTTCCCTTTCTTTGCTAACAGACTATTCTAGCATTTTCTCTTACTTGATATTTTCCTCAGTCAGGGTAATATCTATCAAGCAAACATGTTCATGTCATGCAGATGAAAGTAAAACACATGTTTAGAGTCTATTAGAACATGTGTTCACTCTCTATCAATCAATCAATCAAACACTGGAAAAACAATTACTTGGTATTTTATTTCTAATAAGTCCAAACAACCAATTATATGAAACGTATAATTTTCCAACATTCTAGGTGTAAAAGGAGCTGATGCACTGTAGGGGTGACAGTGACAAAGTCTGACTTCTGTCCACTTCAAAAAGTGGAACTTTTCCCATCAATAATATCCATAGCAGTAAACAGCTCCTTGGTCAGATATGCCCCCCTCAGCCCCCATGCTTCTGAACCTATTACCACCCACCTTAAGTTTTCTATATTCATTGTTGACTTACAGACTTTACTCCCAGAGTGGAATTTATTAAGAAAATAGGTTGGGAAGAGGGCGAGGCAAAGAATATCTCACAGGGCAAGTCAAAAGCAAGACTAATTCACTGATTAGTAAAATACCTGGTTTCAAGTCAGCAACACAAATTCAAGAAGCCTCTGGATTCCTCAAAGATCTAGGAAGGTTTGCCTCAGAGCAATTATAAGTCATCTTCTCCTTCAAGTATCCATCAAGAACAGCAAATCCTTTAATTATGGCTTTTATCTCAAGGGTCTCTGGTTACACGTTGCCACAGTTTCTCCACAGCAATGCACAATCTCTCCAGTACCATCTCTAGGGTCTCACCACCTCTCTCTCTTTCACCAGAGTCTTGCTCTAGTCTTCCTCAAGTATGGGAGTGGGCTCTCTCTCTCCTCCCCGCCCCGCACCCCCAGTCCCACAGCTGTTGATGATTAGCAAGACCATATGTCTACAGTTAAGGTAGCTCGAGACCACAGGGGACTAATGTAATGGTTAGAAAAGCCAACTTTTAAGCTAACAGTGGACTAGGAAATGAATAAGGTTCCCTGTTTCCTTGTATCTACCTCAACTACTGTATTCTTAAATGTTTTATTCTGACTCATTTCTGTATCTATTGCATTTCCTGATGATTCCCAGTTTTATCACATTAACCCACAGGTTTACCACATTAACCCACAGGTTTAGCAGATAAGAAGAAAAGAGGGACATGATTTTAGGAAAGAAAGGAAAAATACAGGCAATGAAATGATGGATAGTAGCAATATTGCTATATTTCTTCTGCTTTTTCTTATGTAATCCCTGCACAGCACCCAAGGGATATTGGTCAATGAGTGAATAAACAATCATTCTATCACTCTAACAATGAAAATCATCTCTAAGTTTTGTATAAACTGACTTCCAAGAAAACTTGATTTATTATTTTCTTCACTTTGAGGACTACACTGTGCAAAGTGTACAGTTGGTCTTATAGCATTGTACCATTGGTCTTACAGCAATACATTACTGAATATCATACTATATAGTTTGGGGCTTGTTCCATCAGATTATAAATAAATATGAGAATAATAAAATTCCATTAAGTAATAATATTCTCATACATTTGGCCATAAAGAAGGTTCATAGGCAAAAGACTATAATAACTAGGTCAATCTAGTATTTCTATGATTCACAGTATAGAAATTAAAATAAAACTCATTTTGAAATTCTGATTTTTTTTCCGACACAGTATCACACATATATTGCTATATTAAGTTGGATAATTTTACTTTATTAATGAGAAATTAAAACCCATAGCATACACTTCAGACATCTAAATTTTTAAAATTTTATTATGTAAATAAATTAGAATGTATAAAATAGTTTACATATAATTCAAAGAATGTAAAAAAAATCAGTATTATTACTCATTTTTAAAATTACAATATGTGTGATTTGGAGAAAGATAAAAAGAGAAGTATGATAATGCTTAACTACCTCATAGCACGCAGACACATTTATGTGTCCATAATTTAAATTATGCACTGTAATAAAATATTATTTATATTCTTTCCAGTATTACAGTTATCAGGGATAGTCTCCAAATTTTCTTTTACATGGAAGGTTATTTAAAAATAAATTTGCATTGTTCAAAATTATTTATGGTATTTCACACACTTTCAAAAGGTTTATCCACAGGTGACTCTTAATGTTATTTGAGAATAATCTTAGACAACAATTTCAAATTCAGTCCACATATATACCTTCAAGTTTCAACTAAAAAGAAAAAACACCAAAAAACTAAGTAATTTAGTACAATATTTGGTTCCTTAAGATATAAAGACATTTGAAAGTCCTGTAATATTTTTACTTTGAATAAAGCAATTTATAAAACTCTAAAAATATCTCTAATTTTCCATTTAACAATAAATATTGCATGCATTAAGACTTTAGCAAATCATTTAAGTAGATATTAACATTATCAATTGACTGGTAATTAGTATCATTTCACAAAAAAGGATTGATAGTAAATTATTTGGTCTGATATGTGCATACTACAGCATGGTATGTTCAGTGTTGAAAAATAAAGTAAAAGGCAATTACCCTAAAAGACATTTCAAGATTCTCTCCACCCCAGATATCCATTCCTGCATCGTAAGTTCCTATCTCTTCAAAGTAGTTTCTGTCAATAGAAAATAGGCCACCAGCCATAGTAGGGGTCCTAGTTGACAAAAAAAAACAAAAAGAAAAGAATATCTTTTGAAAACAATGTGTGGCGTTTAATGAGACTGTAGCAAGTATTTTTGAGACATTTAAAAAAGGTACTCAAATATCTCAAACTGGAAACTGAAGGTAAGGGATTAAGAAATTTTTAAAATTAATAAGTAGCATTTTCTTTCACACTTTCCATGGAACTAAATTTAAGTAAATCCATGTTTTTCTAAGATGTGTCAGAGATAAATAAGAGCACTGGCATTTTAATATTGAGTTTTCTACATTCCTCTGAAAGGCAAAGTGAAAAGATGTTAGTGCCCTTAGTTATGTGTTCAAAGTGATGAAGTGATCATGAAACTACCAGTTGTTATATTTTGTCTTATAAATTAATTTAACTTAACTCTAGGGTATTTTGGAAACTATCAGAAAGTATTTATATGAAATGATTACTTAATGAATGTTACAAAAATATTTTAACCTAATAGCATTGTGTCTAACATTTTATTTTATTATCTAATTAAAGGATAGACTTAATTGTATACAGGGATACATAAACATAGATCCTATATGCTTTTCAGAATGACATCTAGCCTGGATTCTAAACATTTATCCCTAAGAACATATGTCTTTTGATCCTCATATTCAAAAGACTTTTAAAGAAACTTAAAAGTGTTACATTTTAAGTAATATTCAATAAAGACAATGATTAATACATGAACTATAATACACAATCTATGCAATGTGGTTTGTTAAACAAGAAAATTCTAGCTGTCTACTGTTGAATTTAAACAGACTATATTTGAGAGCCAATATTAGTATGTTGTGTTGAAATTATCAATTTTAATAAATATTAGGAAGCATTTCTAGGAAATAAGTACATAAAAATATTTACAAAATATTTTAACATTTTTAATATTTTTCTAATTAAACCTGTGAATCATAGGCACTGCATAAAAGGATATAACATTTCTCAACCCTGATAGCTTATTGGGGAACAAACCCAAAAAGCCCCTAAAATGTGTCCATGCTCATATACTACCCTTTAAAAATTCCCATTTAATTAGTCTAGGGTGGATCTAACTATCTGGTATTTTATAACATTCCCAGGTTACTCTATTTTGCTGCCAAACATGAGAAAATCAATCCCCTAATTTAAAGTAATCATCCAATAGTTTGTGAGTATATTAAAAAGTTGTATTGCTTTTCTCAAAATTATATTCTTCTCTGCCACAGGTTATGCTCACATTTTGCAACTAAAATGGATAGTTCATAGAAAAACCACCAACTAATATTGTACTTGGATACATCTCATATTGCAAAGTTCTCTGTTTCTCCCAGTGCTCTCACTGTTACGCACTCAGGTAATTAACTGTCCATCATTTGGAGTAGTAGAGCCTTGCTTAAACTCAGAGCTGCTTTATTACTTCTATTCTTGCTGCGTTCCTAACACGTACAGTATCATTGACCTGAGTTACAATGAGAAACATTAACAAAGCTAAACAGATGGTAATTACGAAGTAGTCTTGACCCTTAAATGATTGGGGTTTTGGAACTCTGTGGTAATAACTGCATAAGGTATTTTGGAGCTGGATAGTCTATTTAATAAAATGAGAACCAAAAAATTGCCGTAATTATCCTATCATAATGCAACTAAGTGCTTAAGAATGTTAAAGAATGCATTTTTAATCACCAGTTCTGAGTGCCTGTCCACTTACCTACTAATAAAATACTGATGTATTTGAACTTAAAGATATAGTTATACTGAATTTATTTCTTAGGGTTATTCATCATTCCTATAAATATGTGAAAAGTATTATAAATGGGTAAATTATACATGTTTAACCAAAACGCAAATAAATTTTACTTACACTTGAAAGCAACCAGAAGAAAAATTCTGCCTGCATTTTCCAGAAGACAGACATTTCTAGAGAGGATTTTTTTCCCCCAAAATTAATTCTCATGCAATCTAGGGGTGATGCACTATATTAATTAATATTTAACATTGATAGCCATAGGCAATGTTATGCAACATGTTTTGTACTGTGTTGATGGCTTATGAGTATTTCTACTGTTTTATTTAGATATGCTCGTGTCACCTTGAGTCCTAGTGGTGCAGAGGTTAAGCAGTTAGATGTTAATGAAAAGGTCAGCAATTTGGAACCACAAGTTCCTTCATATGGCAGTCTACCTCCTTGAAGATTTACAGCTTTGGAAACCCTGAAGGGAGGTTCTACTCTCTTCTGTTGTATAGAGTGGTTATGAGTCAGAATTGACTTAGCGATTCTGGGTTTGATTTTGTTTGATGTGGCTTTAAAAGTTCAAAAATATCTAACAAAGCAAAAGGCCTGATTGTTGTTGTGTTGGGTACTGTATGTTCAGAAGAGACCCATGGCTGACCCTACAGTGGATTTTCATAGGCAGTATGTTGCATGGGAGCTGAATGCCCATCTTGCTCCCTTGCAGTGTGTACCTTTGGGATTGCAGTATAACTTTTTTTTTTTTTTTCACTCCTAGGCCACCAGAACTCCCTAAAATTAGAGGCAATTAAACAGTTTGATTTGCAAGTTTTGCCATGGAATCTCACACCAACAAAACCAGTTCAATTCATTTTTATTGGAGGAAAAGCAATAATCCTCTCAATGGTGGAAACACTATCTAACCCATAGTCATAAGGTGGAAGAGGTAAATACACAATAAACAATAAGGATAGGTGGCATTCTAACTGTATTTAGTTACTTTAACAAAAGTCTTTTGAATTATTTTTGTTGTATCTTCTTTATTGAAATTATGAGTAACAGAGAAAAAGTAAGGTGAATTGTTCATTCACAAAGAAGTCTTACTAATATTGTTGTGTGACTCCCAGCTAGAACCAACCCACAAATGACTTTGCAGCAGGTCTTCACAGGCAGTTAATTGCATGGGAGTAGATTGCCCATCCTTCTCCAGTCTTACTAAAGAAGTGTTAATAATCTGTGGTATCTGCTTTAGGCAGCGTTTTTCTGTGGTCTGATAAGTGTGTTTGGTGAAAATGTTCAAGATGTTTATAACGGAGGCCAACAACATTTATTGCAGTGTGGCTAGTGCAAAAGAGGTGAGAAATGCAGGCACAGATGTCTCTGCATCTTTCTTAAAAATGAATACCTCTGTATTCTTCAGCAGGCTCCAGGAACTGTTTTTAGTGTCACGTTAGAAGATCAATGTTCTGTTTTAAACTATAGGGAGATTATTAATCTATTGCATCACAGATGCTTTGTTGTTGTTAATTCAACCCATTCTGTTTTTCCAAAAGAGTACTTCTAATTCCTCATGTTCTTTGATTCTAGGTAATATTATTTAAACAATTATATACAAATTGAAGATTGATTAATATTTATCTTCAGGTCTCAAACCCTAGAATGCTTACACTGTGGTAAGCAATTTCATAAGAAATATATTAGTAAACGAATAAATAAATAAACTTATCTCAGTAGTCTTTTGAGCAGTCCTAACTCACCCTATCTTATTTTTCAAAACAATAACTTACTGCCCTCAAGTCCATTATGAGTCATAATGACTCTCAGTGCAGTTTCTAAGGTTGTGAATCTTAAAAGGGGGCTGCCAGTCTTTCTCCTGAAGATCCACAGGTGGATTAAAAGCACCAGAGAGGCACAGCCTTGGAGTTAGTCCTCTAACTTGAGAGCGTCTACATCATGATGTCCTACCCCATCCTACCTACTCATAAAATAGTTTCATTCACTATGCCTTCATCCCATTAGTATTTGAACCTCAGCAGAATCTTTAACATCAAATTTTAAATTGTTCCTAACCTTTTACAATAGCATAAAATGACCTAATGTGCAAAACCATCTTCTCCAAAACTGGCTATGCCTTTGAATATGCTTCAGTACATAAATTAACATAAAATAAGTTTTAATTGTCACTTCTTAAACTCACCTCATTGCAGTCATTCCATTACAGCCTAAGTTTTTGCATTATTTCCATTATTTGCATTATTTCCATGAGATCACTTAAACATGAGTTTTGTTAAGTCACTCTCAAGTCTTCTTCACATCAGCCTTTCTCATTATACATGAACATTTCAGAATATATTTCACACCCCTTAAAATATTACATCCTCATTGTTCCCATAATAGGTGAATTTCATGGAATTGTAACTCTTACTCTGGTTGCAAACTATTTAACACTATTTCATAGTCAAGATGTTGCATTCTGAGAGCTAGCTTTCTAGTTATTCATAACTTCCTACATTTTAAAATCCTTGTTTCAATTTTATGGAAGTTGTTTTTGATCCTTTATTTGTGATTTCTGTCCCAATGTTCACATTAATTGTTACCCTTTTAGTACTCTTACCCTTTCAGTAAAGCACCCTAGCTTAGCATCCTTAGTTCTCTGTCCTTGTCTGACCCAGCTCACTATTTGTAACTCTCAGAACCTGGGGTAAACTATTTCTTCTCTGCATCTACTTCTATTCTTAAAACAAAGAATCATTGGAAATGAAATAGTTGAGATCAATTGATTATAGTAACAATTCATGCTATTGATTGTGCTTAGTCTATAGCATCATTAACAATCCTTTTATCTGGTATCTTTCCCACCAGTCTCATTTTAATGGATTTTTTTTAAACAAAATCATTTAGCTTCTTCTCAAAACCAGATTAATTTAATATGTAAAATATTAATTCCCTTAATCTCTACCTTAATATGTTTATGTATCTTTCTGTGTCTTCTTCCTTCTTTTTTTTTGAAAGAATATCCCTTTTCTTTTTATCATAACTATCATATACTTGTGCCTGTAGGAAACTCCTAAGTATTCATTCAACCACTTCTCAGTGACTATTACATTTGTGCTTTATACTTTTGACTTCCAGATTGTACCCTGGAGCTTAAAAATCTACTCAGTTATGGTCCAACCTAAACCAAAATCATTTTAACTTCCTCCTATAACTCATTCAAACGAAGGACATATATTTTCTATTCTCTTCACTGGTAACCTTACTGAAAGGCTAG